ATATATATATATATATATATTTGCTTATTTTTAGAGGATAGAACAGGTACTCCCCTAATTTTTTGGACTAGTGTATATACATATATCGCATTTTTGTTAAACGCAGAGATTATATTATTCGCCCATACAAATACGACGAAGATCTTCATGCAATTCACGGCGTATTGGCAAAATATCTCGACCATCAGACCTCTATTCCAGAGAACACAGCTGCAATTCTGGCATTCGATTCGAGGAATACATCAGAGAATGTGCATATGCTCCGACGCGGTTTACGATTTAATGCGTCTATTCGAAACACAGGAGAGGATAGTTCATCCACCTTCGAGGAAGGGGACGGGCAAGGGCAGAGGGGGAGGAGGGAAGGGGACCACGGAAGATTGAGTCTCCCGCATGCTTGGAACGCCGCGGAAAGTGGAGCGCGCGCGCGTTGTCTTCTTTTCCGCAAGACAAATCCTTGGGACCGCGAGAGCGGACAAACGTATCGGGATGGCAATCGCCGTCTATAAATTATAGGTCAACGAGAGAACGCGGTAGCCTTTTATCGCGATTAAATCGATACCGGCGGTTAAGCAGCGGAGACAGGCGGATCCGCCTGTTTCCGCGTTCGCCCCTTTGATGTTCGCGGCGCGCGAAGTGTCCTCCTTTCGAAGGCGCTCTTGAGATCGCATCGCATTGTCATTACACCGCATATTACGTTGAGGGGCCGCGTCGAGTTATATGGCCACGCGTATATCCGCGATATTACGCGCCATGTCGCCGTCGGCCGAAATTGCATCCGCGCCGAGCTCTACGCTCGCGAGGGGCGTTCCGCGGCGAGCATTCTGCGAGATGCGCATTCTTCTACTGAATTAATTTCAAGCGTGCTACCATAAATTTGTATTCTCGATGGATATTAAACTAAAATTTAACTTTTTAAAGTCTGATCTAATTTTTTTTTACTATTATAGCTTACTCAATTAATCGCTTAATTTTATTAATTATCAAAAAAAAAATTAACAAGGCACATCCCGCGCTTGGTTCCTCTTACATTTTTGTATGATTAAATTACTTTCCCTCGTATAATTCTGTCTCGTCAAATTTAAGTTCTCCCGAGTATATTTGAGTTCTTTCGAGACGAGAGTTCTTCCGGGTGCGTGTGCGCAAGAGGAACAGCCCTGCAGCTAGTTTGAATTAAACGATCATCGTAACACACCCACGACACATGACATTGTTCCCGCGCGCTAAGATATAATCAGTTACGTGAAGTATGATGCGCGATAAGTATATCACGAGTTCGCGACCTAACCTTAATCATGTAACGTGAGCTATTTGGTGTGATCAGTATCGCGCGGCAAGTTTCCCTCATTAAGTACAACGGCGCACTTAAAACTTTACCTAATCGGACATGTGCAGAGGTATACGAAGGGGGAGGGGGGGGGAGGGAACGTCGAGCAATCGCCGTAATCGTCAGCCTCGTTGACCTAACCGGGGGGGTGGGGGGTGGGTGGTTGTATTACATCGCCAATGTGTCGAACAGTAAGCATTACCCACGCCGTCGTGTGTTACCCACGCGCGTGACAGACGAAATTACGGCTGGCCACGATCTGGTGCCAACTACGTGACTAACTATAGCGCACGAGCGATAACCACTGAGAAACTTCTGTTTCAACATTGCTAAACGGAACGGGGAGTATGGCGACTGACTAAATACGTCGCAACGTAACGGTCACAAAGTAATTTTGCAAATGGTTCCGCAATCGAGAGTGCATATACATACGTATGCCATTATTCGTACTCGCGCCCATACAAATTCACTCCAACGACGTTATATTTTCGCCGGGTATTTGCGGCGTAAAAAAAATCTCAGTGAATTGGCGGTGCAATGCACTTTGACAAAATCGTTGTCATTTGTCATTTTAATGGCTAATTTAGCAAACAGTGTTACTCTGTTTTCAGTTGAAACTGCAGCACAAGATTTTATTTTTATGTTAAATAAAATATTGAAAATTTAGTGACGTTTGTGTATGTGAAGATTGTTCAGCTTTTCATCAAACGATTTAAGCATGAAAGAGTTAAATTTCAAGAAATAAATTGAGGGACTATCTTCCAAAAAATTTACTTGTTAAAAAAAGAGTAAAATAAAGATGTCGATTGGAAAACGAACGAGGGATTTTATTCCGTAGGTAGAAATTTAAATGTCGATTGTAAAACAAATATCTGTCTTTTTGTAATTAAGAAAAATATTTAGAAAAACGTACCGATCTGTCAGCGGAGTTATTACAAGTCTCCCGGTGTTACCCAGATATTCGTATCCGTACACGAAACGAGTGTTTGTTTGCCGGACAATGCAATTGTCGATATCCGTCTCCCAATAAAATCTTAGCTGCGACAGCCACTCGAAATCAGACACATCTTTGCAATCTGGAAAATTTGAAAAGTTTGTTTTCGTCTTTCTTTCGATTCCCCATTTACTTTCCATTTGGATTAACGTAGTAAAGAAAATATAAGAGTACAGCGGTACAAGAAACATTACATAATTCCAAATACTGTTTTTGCATTATTAATACGTGTTACAGAAAGTGTAAAAATCAGATTTTTTTTTATTTATCTTGCGGGACGTAGAAAGTGCACTCAGAATAATGTAATTTTTTATCAAGAATTTGAACGCGTCAGTTTAAATCGTGAATGCGCTGGCCTTATCTCAACGGGAACGTGCGAAAGAGAATCAACGCACGGAAATTTAAAGAATTATTATGTGTTAAAAAGAAAAGCGGGGGAGAGCTTTTCGAAGCATATTTTTGCCGATTTTATATTCTTCCGAAAAAAATAAATCCTCGCTGTCACACAGGTATATTTTTCGCGGCGTCCTTTCTCGCGATACTATCAATATACAAATTTACGAGTGGGAACGCGCCGCGGCGTTTCCTCACTACGGCGCATCATATCACCAACGATATAATGCCAGGACGTGACGCGGTTGCGTCGCATGGTCCAATAAAGTCCGTAATTTGTTGGTTACATCCGCATGTAGATACATTGAGCACACGTTGGCGGAACAAATGTTCGCGTGGGCGAACGAATATTGAATGAAGATAAAAAAAAACACGATCGGGGAGATAGGGCATACGGGAATCGAATTTGTACGCTTACTCATTTTGTACATCTTCTCGATAACATCTCGCGCGTGTATCTCGATGACGACGACGGCCTTGAGCTTCAGTCGATCCAGCCTGCTCAGATTGCCCCGTATAGCCTCCGAGTATTTGTCCAACGCCTGATTCTGCCTCCTCCTCAGCCTTCGCAGCGGCTTCTTCGAGTCCGCCATCCTCAAGTGCGCAAATCAAACAAAATTAATTGAACCGTGAAACAACATATACTACAACGCCGCGCGTACGGTATACAATTCCGCGGTCGCGCTACCACTCTTACACAATTTACACCATTCGTCTTTGCGAGAGTTTCGCCGGGAAACCTTGAGAAAAATTATCTCTATCTTCCTTCAAAGATATATTGTTAAAGTAATGCGAGTATTGCCGTGTCTTTTCTCTCGCGAAATTATTAACATAACGTTTCTCGTGTTCTCTGTAAAGTTCAACGCGTCAACTGAAATAAGAGTAAGAATGACGACGTGGCGTTGCGATGCACTTTCAGCAATATTGTTTCGCGCCCGCCGTCCGACGCATCCAGACTCGTCCCTATATTTTTCCGACCACGCGCGCCGTCCTCTCGGTGATCGTCCTTTTTCCGAGGCGCCCGGGTGTGCAAAGGAAAACGTACCGTCGTCGTCGTCGGGCCTCGCGTAACACGAGAGCGTTAGAGGAGAGGACCCGGGACGGGAGGGATTTTATTCGGTAGGTAGGGATACGGTGTCGTAGGTATGGGTTAAATTATTCGCGGTACGGCTAGTATATGCAAATGAGGGGAGGAAGAGAGCGCTGCCCGAGGTGCCGTCGCCGGATCGCACGACGAGACGTAGAATATGCAAAATTTCTCTTATTAGAGTTGCCGTGTCTCCTGTCTCCCTCGGCCATCCTTCCACCCTCTCCCCTCTCCCCCCCCCTCTTCCCTCCTCCCGAAGGCAGGGGAAGCCTTTCTCGTCCTCTATACGTCACCATCTCGCCGTCCCGTTTCCTCCGACTCGTCTCGGTGTCCATCAGCGCCGCCCTCACGTTTATCCCGTTTCCACCCTTTCCGAGCCGCCGTCGCCGCCGCGGCCGCCGCCGCCGCGTCGCTCGGCCGACTCCGGTTCGAGCTTCAAGCTCGAGTCAGCTCCAGCGGCCCTGTCCGCCTCACGTTTCATAACTAACGTAGCTAAATTTCTCATAGGGCAACGGGGCCGGGGGTAGGCGATAGTACTCACTTGCAGTGCAGCAGGGTGCGCGTGCAGTCGCTCGTCCATTGGATCTGAGTGGACGTAACGCCCGGCTGGCCCGGCCATTCTTTCACCCACCTGTCGCGTTTCGCGAGCATTTTTCGCAGCGCTGTCCGACACTGCCTCAACACTTCGCGCAGAGTCGCCCTCATCGCGGCCTCTGCAATTGCCACCGCACTTTTTATTCACGCACGTCTCCCGCCGCGAATTCTCGCCCTCTCACCTAAACCAGCCCCCTCCCCCTCTCCCCCTCGGTCCCTCCCGCCAACCCCCTCGCGCTATTTCGTTCGCGCATTTTTATCTCTCGCAAACAGGAATCGAAGTTGCGCGCCGCCGTGCGCGCCCCGCGCGATAATTCACAGCGGACGAGGGCCAACGTCGGGATTGAGCATAAATTATGGCCAATTTTCCACGTTGGCTTTTATTTACGCAACGCCCATACGTACACCCGTTGTAAATGCCACTCGGTGTCCCCGGCGCCGGGCGTTACACCGCGGGATACTGTAAATATTTGATGAGTCCGCGTTCACACGTCGCTGATCTTTCTCCTAGTTTTCTACGACGTGCATACCGAAAGAAGTTTGTCGCTTCCATATTTCAAGCGCGATAGAGGAGGACGCCGTTTTCGATTTTGCAAAAAGCAATTTATGATTCTTATAAATTTTCACCCCCGCTTATGTATTTTCACAACGCGTGTAGATTCCGACGAGATAGCGGGAAATAGGATTTATGATAGGATAATACCTAAAATTTGCAGAATAGATAACTATATACTAGGCGTAAGAATAATAACTTGCAGAACATATAACTATATATACTATGCGTCATGGGGGATAATCGGATTTTAAGATTACGAGATAATTGTGCAAGTCGCTTTTGACATTCTGTAATTTTGCTCAAATATTTGACGTACCGGCTTATCATTCGTTTCCTAACGCTGTTAATATTAGAGGAGTTATCAGAGAGAACGGAGAACTCTTACCGAGATCGCGCAACCAATACTCGATTGGACCCTCCAGGAAAACCGGCTCGACGAAATCGACGTACTCGCCGTCGTTCGAGTACATGCCGTCGGTCAAATGTTTCCCAGCCAGCGACTGCATGAAGTCGAAAGAGTTGCGATGTCAAGGGATACCCGGGCGTTTATGCAGCGAAAACAAGAGCAGGTGGACGAGACGGTGGTGAATATACCTTGCCGAGCTTCAGGGACTTGATGTTCGCGAAGAGCTTCCTGATGTGCGGCTGCAGGAGGTCCGGTCGTTTAGAATTGGCCAGGATCTCCAACATGTCGTCGTTCGAGACGAAGTAGAGTCTTGGAAATACGCGCCTCTTGGTCTCCAGGTACTGCTCGAGCGCCAGTTGCAACGCCTCCAACTTGTCGTTGAGTTTGTTCAGGACTTCCAGCAAGCCGGCTAACAGGATCGCCGTGATGGAGAGCGGAGAAAAAATGCAAATGCTTTCAATAGAATAGATTTACATTATTTTACAGTACGCGTACGCGTCGGCTCGTCGCTCGATTTTTTATCCTTTTTTACCCTCTCTCTCTCTCTCTCTCTCTCTCTCCTCCCTCACTCCCTCCCTCCCCTCTCCCCTCTTTCTCTTTTTTTAGCACTGGAAACGGACAGACGGTTTGTACGTATCCATTTACATTAATACTCAGGCTCGGTTCTAGCTTAATTTTAACTCTAGTTCCACGCTCAGAATGATCGTGCACGGTAAATATAAAATGTCTGATTTAATAATCTTTCTTTATTACTTCATTACACCTCGCAAATGTACTTAATGCAAACGTTTTCTTTTTTTTTTTGTAAAAATATTGCGTAAAATTTTAAATAGTTGGAGAACATTCATGATACTGCAAGAAATTCTCTTCAGTTTACCAAATTGCAAGGTTTCATTAATTTTGTAAGTATTTTCTCGTTAAATTAGCCATGCATAATTCATTTGATTTTTAAAGTTAAAGATAGATGTAAAATAGAAATAAATTACAATAGAGAATAATGAAAAAACTGGCAAAAATTCATATGTTATATAATATACGTTAATTAGGAAATACGAGCGATTTTAATAACGTATATTAAGTATTATGTTCTTTCGTATATATATCAGAAATGCGATACGGATATTTTAAAATTATAAAAAATTTTGAAAGTCTATAAATATATTCCTATTAACATTTTTACAACGAATAAGGTATCTGAGGGTATTACGGCCAGTGCTGGTAATACAGCCACTTGGCGGTTTCAGTGTTAGTTTCAAAGTTAACCAACACTGAAAAGGTTCCAGTTTGAAAAGGATATTCATGAAGCATGTGTGAGTCTTACGGAATATGACAAAACCATTTTTATATGCCCAAACTGAGAATTTTGAACAGCTATGACATTTTTATATAATTTTTTTTTTTAATTTAGGTGGTTTCAAACTTTATGGGTCTTTTGAATTTTTGTCAACATTTTGGAATGTTTAATTTTATTTTTTGAAATTTTTCTTAATTACATTCGACTTATTTCAAAGAGAAATAAAGTTCTGTTCATAAAAATAATAAAGTTGAGTCTTTTTTTCATTGCCCTTTTTGCTTAAGTGAAGTAAAATTTGGTAGAAATGAATTTATCGAGAAAGATAAGAAAGTGACCTAATTACCTTCACTGGCCACATTACCTGTAAAAAAGATGTTTTGCAAAATTGTAAAAGTGAAAATCAAAAGTGAAAACCAAAATTCTTTTGAAAACTTAAAAAGGAAAGATAGTACTAATAGTCTCTTGTTTTTCTTTTTTTTTAACTTTATCACATTATCACAATTTCAGTTTGCAATAAGATTAGCCGCATTACCACAGTATAACCAGTAGGTACACCCAGTGAAAAACTGAGTCTTCGCGCAGGTATCGCCGCGCAACTTTTATTTTGAGTTGGATCCAATGAAATGCAAGACGATAGGAATGTACATACATATGTGCAGACAATTTATAAGCAATTACATCAGAAATTTTCTTTAGTAATCACTCCTACGAATAATTGTTACTAATAAAACGTTTTATTCGATTCACACATTGAATTTTGTATTGATTTACTGTATCGAATCCATATTACTTATCTGCAGTTTTATTACTTGTGAGGCACTTCTCTCAATTCGGTCTTGGATTTAACTTGGTGGATGCTCACGTGATCCGGAAAAGGAGATCCAAGGTACCGACATGAAGTGTACCTACTGGTTATACTGTGGTATTACCCTCAGATACCTTATATAATTAATTTGGACAAATATTCTTACACGTAGCAAAAATTTTTCTCTTCGGTGGATCAGATCGCGCTACGTACATTCATCGAATCTTTATTTGTGTGAATCCGAGAAAACGCGCGTATCTTTTACAAAAATTTAATTAAATAAATGTCGTGTTGTAATATGATAAGTTTTTCCGCGAAATGTCTCTCCGATGATACGTACGTGTATGTGTGGCTGGCAACGCCAAGCCGAGGGAAGCTATTCTTGACGTGTGCTCAGCCAACTCGCTTGTAACTTTGTCAAAATCGTCCGTCTCCAACGGGAGTTGTTTCCTGATGTCCTCGCTGGTGAATATATTGTCGAGATACATGTATCCCCTCTGTACTACCAGCACCATTTCCAAAACTTCGCCGATCGTCGACAGCGTTCGCTCCCAGAATTCAACTTTCTGGGCGAACGGCTCTACGAACCTATAACGGGAAAATCCAATATAGCCTCTACTTAATTTAGTGCCATTAGAGATGTAAACGCGTAAATTGGCTTAGCAAGTGTAATGCACCTTGTTGACTTCATGGACGATAGCTGCACCTGATGATCCTCCAAGGTCTGAATTACGTCGTCTACAGCCTTCAATCGGTATATCCCTCTGTCTTTGTACGGAACCATCGTAATCGGCATCGCCTCCCAAGTGTCCTTAATATGCTGGAGACCCTGAAACGTTCTCGTCACGTTAAATCCACGCGATCGTTTCGCAAAACGCTGGCTTTACGACCAATATATTATGACGGCTCTTATCGTTTAGCGACGAGACTCACGATTTCGATGGCGAGCTCCATCGTCGCTGCGTTAGAGATTTCGCTAATCTGCTCCGCGAATTTATGCATTTGCATTCGAATAATCGCGTCTAGGGTGAAGTCCTCCGACGTCTCGTCGAAATCCTGAGCGATCGTATCTTTGACTCGCTTCCAATGTCTCGGTCTTATCGCCGGATTCTTCAGTACAGTTATTAACGGTAATGTATGTCGAAATTTATCGATCCTTGACCTGAATATACGTTCTTTGGTATAATAATGTCATAAAGAAAATAATTACGTCTATCATTTTATATGTATACACGGAAAGAACGATTTTGTTGAAAGGTCTAAAAATTTTGCTAAAAACAAGATCTGAAAATAATTTTT